ACACACACACGCACACACACAACACACATATACACACACACACGCACACACGCGCGCGCACACACACAGACACACACACACACACACACGCACACGCACACACACACACACACACACACACACACAGACCGTTTTTCCATGGCAGCGCGTGGAATGCCTACCACTTTGAATTCGAATTCCTGCCGCCAGTGCTGCAAGGGCATCACAGAAAGATGTGTGCCCCTCGTGAGGGCATTTCAAGGACCGGCCTACGAAACGCCATCAGCGGTCCAGTAGGGGCATATAGGGAAGTTACGCCCCATGCTGACAGGGGCCTGTGGAAATTTCAGAGGCCCGAGGGGCACCACAGTGTAAGTCGGCCTTCACAGGGGCACGCCGCAAATGAACGCAAACTTTGGGGGCACTTCGAAAATTTTCCCAAAAAAAAAAGAAGGAAAAGGACAAGGCAATGTCAGCTTTACCATAGAAAAAGGACAGCCTGAGGGCAAAAAAGAAGAAGAAGAAAAAAAAAAGAAAGGAAAAGGACAAGGCAATGTCTGGTGCAAACACTCAACGCCAGGGGCCATGGGAAAACTTCTGAGGGCGTACTCACACTAGCACTTTCCTGAATGTATCTGACCATGATTACGGCTGGACCTGGATGTATCTGACAGCAATTGCAACCGGAAATAAGTAAAAAAAGTCGGAGTGTGAGTATGCCCTGAAAAAAAACAGTTTCTGATGCCAGCACTGGATGCCAGGTCCAGCTAATAAACTTGAGCTTCTAAAATTATTTAAAAAAAAACAAGCGGCATGAACTCTTTGGTCGCACTGCACCTAGCCTTCGGAATAGGCAACTTTTAAATTAGTAGCAGTTCTGGAAACAAGCCACTTCCAAAAAAAACGGTCAGTAGGGTATTTCTGATGGTTTGCTGATACACCCTCATGGAGGGAGCTGGTCTTTTAGGGTAGGCAACGTGGGGGTTGGAGAGATCTGCTTTGAATCGCGAGGAGGTGGGTGGGTTTGCGGGGTCTTTGGTCACAGATCCCTGCCGCGTGGGTGGCAGGGTGGATCTGCAGGGTTGGGTGATATCCAAGGGTGATAGGCTTTGCATTTGTAGGTTCTGTTGTGGCTGGCTGTTTTTTAGGTCATCTGCATTGTGCACAATTAGGATTCTTCATTTCTTTAAATTTGTTGTTTGTTGTGCTGCCCCTGAATGGAGCTTAGGGTTGCCTGCTCACATTGGGATTGTTGCCTTGCTGAGGGTGACATGGTTACAGCCAAAGGAAACAGTTTACCCTGTAACCTTTTCTATGTTGTGAGGGATGCCAGCCCCGTTTTCTGGCTTGTAAAATTCAAAAGAGGCTGTCGTATGAACCAGGACGGAGTGCCTGAGGGTCTCGCCACACGGCACACGAAACGAAAATGAAAAGAGTGCATCTGCCCATGAAAGGTGACAAAATACACTCATTACTATTTATAGCAAACCCATGAACCTGGCCATTTTCTGTGGGAAGATGCACTCGTTTTGTTTTTCGTTTGGTGTCCCTTGCGGCGACCCCTGAATCATCATACGACACTGGCTGCCCCTTGGGTTAAAACTAGTAATAATAAAAATAAAAATAAAAATAAAAATAAATTGGCTTGTTTTGGGAAAAAAAAAAAAAGAAAAAACGGCTGCAGTTTCAATCCCTTCTGCTAAACTTGCACATTTTGAAATTCAAACAATGACATGGGCGCCAATTTGGCTTTTCTTGCCCATTTCAAACTAAAAAGCTGACTCAGGAGCAGTTTCCCCTAAAAAGAAATATTGGGACCCCCCACAGCCCGTGGAAAAAGACAAAACTGCTCTGGAGTACAGTGTTGCCAGTAACTGTTCTACCCAGCCCATAGTGGGTCTCGCTCCACTACTCTCGATTCACGGAAAAATCCGTGAGTGCTTCTAGAGCTGTCAGAGGTCTAGAACTTGTGAAAAAGGAGGCGTCGCTCCACTTACTCCAGACTCAAGAGCTCTAGAAGCACTCACGAATTTCTCAGCGCTACATGACAGCCCTTCTACAGGGCTACACGACAGCGCCAGCTCGCTCTGACGGTCGCGGCAGGAGGCACACTCACGAAAAAAGAGGCCGGAGCGGCGGCAGGATGGAGGACGCTGGAAATCGTGAGCGTCGCAGGATGTAAACTCTATACTACTCCAGAGTGCCCTTCGAGAGCGCCTTCTGACAGCTCTCGAAGGGTGTTTTCACGAGTTAAACTCTTGAGTAAGTGGAGCGAGGCGTTACTCTCGAAACTTCGAGAGTCTAGAGTAGTGGAGCGAGACCCAGTATGGCTGAATGGTTTGCACATGTAGCTGTTTTTTTTTTGCTTCCAGGAATTATCATTCATTTAGTTCCATGTGGAGCATGGTCCCAGTCGCAACCGGGATTGGATCCTGAATCTGGGCGTGTTTTAGGCAGAGATGCAGAAAAGGAGTTCAATCTCGGTTTCCACACTTGTTCACAAACGCGGTCAGATTCAGGCGTTCAATCCAATCCTCTTTGCTAGTGGGACCTCACCCCTGGATTTGATAGGGAGCCAGGATGCCTGCAGAGATCAAGTGGTTCAATAGCGGTCCGTTTTTTAGTGGGGAAAAGAATAGCACATGTAGCTGCTAGTGAACAGAAAGAGTGTCACTGAGGACATATACTCGCACGAGGACCTAAAGTCTCAATTTTTTGCGGCATTTGGTACGGCCAATTTTTTGATACTTTGGGTACCCGTGTCGTCACACGGGTCACAGGTGGACTATGGGCGTCGTTCGACACACCTCAGCGCAATTTTTGATTTTCGGAGGTGTCATTCCACCTGTCCTCGGAGAAATGCCCGAGGACGAATCCTCGGGCCCTCCCGCGGCCAGTTTAATTAGATTATACACAGACGCGAGAGGAATGTCCGGCCTCCGATTCGGGATGTCCGTGTAGCTCTGATGGTGGTCCAAAACGCGGACGGCGGGATGACGTCACGGGCCCTTGGAAAATAAAACGCCAACGCGGGAAAATCCCCTTTCGAAATTCGAATTTTGAATTTTGATGTTGCGGAGCGACGTGGTGGCTGCGCACAGGCGGGTCGGTGTGCGTGCCTGCCTACGCCCGACCAGGGTTTCGTTTGCCATCGGGTTGCGTATTTCAGCGGCGCCGCACCGCCAGTGCGTCAAGTGTGGTCGACGCGACGAAACGAAGACATCAGTCGCGTTCGCCACGTGCAAGCGCCGCGGCGGTGGGTGGACGCCAGCGGTGGTGGGTGGACGCTCCAATCGGAATCGCGTCGTTGGACCGGGCTGTCTTCCTGACGTGGTTGCAGGCGTCTTCAACACGTGGCGGCATACGTGCACGGAGGTGGGCGGTGGTGGACGTCGTTTTTTGTCTACGAGGGACGTGATGGACGGCTGCAATGGCGATGGACCTGCTGTGCTGTCGACAACGGAGAAGACAGCAGTCGCGGCGGCTGCGGTTGCCGTTGTCCGTCGTTTTCAAATCGAGAGTGCGGCCGGGCGGATGAAGGCAGCGCTTTCGAGGCGGCGGCAGAGGCTACTGCTGCAAAGGGTGTTGGACGCCCCGGACTGCATCACCACATCCCAAGCCGTGGTTCAGCTGTGTGCTGCTATCGGGAGAGGTTTGCTTCCTCGGGCGACGCCACGTTGGTGGATGCGGCGGAGAGCTGGCGGGACTTGGGAGGATTTACGGGTTTGCGATGACGCGATGAGGACTACTTCCGGGAAAAGCTCCGCATGTCGAGGAGAGTGTTCATGGAGATCAGCAAAGCATGTGCGCCTCATGTGCAGCAGCAGGTGACGTTTTACAGGGAGCCACTGCAGCCGGAGCAGATCGTCGCATACGCGCTGTATAGGTGGGCCACAGGAGAGTCTTACGATAACAGCACATCATCCTTCGGCATGGGCAGGACTTCCGGAGTTCGAGCCGTGCGCGATGTGCCAACCGCCATTTTGAGGGTGTACGGGGAGAAGATATCGTGGCCGACGGGGGTGCGGAAACAAGTCGTCCTACGGGCTTTTCTGAACAAGGGCTTTCCAAATTGCCATGGCGCAGTTGACTGCACACACATCTACGTGGACAAACCGGCGAACGCGCCTAGCGAGAACTAATTCGACCGCAAGCACCGTTTTCCCATCATTGCGCAAGTTGTGGTGGACCTGGATCTGTGCGTCCTTGATGTGTTTGTGGGATATCTGGGTAGCTGCCACGACATTAGGGTGATCCAGCTGTCAAGTCTGTCGAGGCGCGCGGAAGAGGGATTGCTGTTTCGTGGGCCGCCTGTGACGCTGCCGGGAGGGGTGACGACGAACGGATACATCTTGGGCGACAATGGGTATCCTCCTTCTGAGTGGGTGGTGGTGTCGTACGGAGGAATCAATCAGCACCCGGACTGTGGTTTTATCACATGACGCACGCGTGAATGGCCATCGCATCGTCGTCCGCATCTTCTTGTGTGACTCCGTGCGCAATCTTTTGCATGCAAACACAAGACATGGAAAAAGCAACACACATTTCACTGAGTTCATATTACATATAATCAATCGCATCGGCGATGATTCCCCCTTTTGTCTGACTATCGACACTTCTAGCGTTCCGCACTACACACCGACTTGTCCTGCCGTCTACGCACATTTCGGCAGAGCAGTCCGCCGACCCAATTAACCCTGCAGCGGAGCAAGCGTACCAAGCGCGCTCCAATCACCTAATAATGACACAAAATAAACGAAAGCATCCTTCACTACACATGCACAACTACGACTGCAACCTGACCTATACATGACGACACTCGATACCAGACGCTGTTCGAGTCGCCTCGACCGCACCTTGACGCTGCGCCACGGACGCACCCACGTGTCAACCGTCCTCGTCTCCCACTTCCTCCGCCGCAGGCCCGCTGCCAATCCATCCGTGTTTCGCGGCTTCCGCCACGTTTTTCAGGGCCGCGTTGTGGCCGAACACCAACCCGCAGTCACACCATTTCGGAATGCAGTGTGGGTATTCTCCCAGCGTGAGGTGAGCCTTCCCTATACGATCCAAGACGAGGTTCGCGCTGTCGACGATGTGTCGCCGCCAGTTGAAGATGTACGACGCCGCCGCTATCATTGTCGGTTTGGCGACCAGGGACGAGCAAAGGCACGCCTCGTAGTGCGAACGGTCGTCGTCACCACCCATGCGCATGATCCACATGCACGCGCTCAACAACGCTCGAAGACAGTCCGCAAGCCTAGACAACCTCTCTTGTTTCACGCGCCCGTCGTCTGCCCATTGTCCACACCACATTGCGTCTGTCCAGCACTCCGCGATGCGAAGAACTGTCGCCTCCTGCCGCACCGCCATGTCGTCGTCCTCTGGCCGATCCACAATCTTCACCCCCGCGAACCACAGAGGCACGTCCATCTTCATCGCCAGAGTGTGGTACACGAGTGCAGGGGACACCACATTCGACCATTCCTGCCCCTTCCAAACTGCTCGTGCGACGTTTGTGGCAATGTCGACAGTGATGTACGACTCTGGACGAGCGAATCCAGCCGACTGCGACGACGATTTGAAGATCTAGCCGTGGATGACGCGCAGCACCAGTTTCTCGACGTTGCGCGCTCTGCGCAGAGCCGGTCCACGCTGAGCAGGGTTGTCGATCTTGAAGCGCGGCACGTCGTTCGGCGGCAGTATGAGCATCGCAGGCGGTTCAGCTCCCGCGTCTCCGTTGGCGATTGCGATGAAGTAGTCCGCGCACTCGCCAACCGCCTCCCTCAAGGGTTTCCCTGGTCCCTGACCCCAGAAAGAGTCGCAATCAACCCACAACTTCGATCTTTCCTCCAGACCATCCTCCTTTGCGTCTCCCTTCAACCTCGTTACAAGTGGACGGTCGTCGTCGTCGTCGCCCTCCCGCTTTCCGTCTCTTCTTCCCTCGTCGTGGCGGACGTCGTTGCGGACGTCGTCTACCCTCTCCTCGCCCGCACCTTCGGCAACTCTGGTTCTACCACTGCGATCCGCCGCCGCCGTCCGAGTGCCGATCGCCGTTGCATCGCCCTTTTGCGCGGGCTGTGCTTTCCCCCCCCCGAAGCCTCCAACTGTTGCAGTGGAAGTGGCTGACGTGGCTGGACCTTCCCCGTCGCCGCGGGAAGTTGCCTCGGGACGCGCACCTCCGTTATGACAACCGCTGCCGCCTTCGAGGTCCTTTGCTACGCCCCGGCAGCACCAACAGCAATGCTCTGCTTCACAGCGGACACCTGTTCCCTCGTCAACCCATCTCGCCCGAAACCCAATCGCGGCGCCGCTGAAGTACCTTGCGCGTCCACCATCACCACTTCTTCTGGCTGGAAGTCTGCAGTGTGCTCGGAGCTCGACTCTTCAACGCGCTCCCTTTTCGGCTTAGGGATGTGCCCTCTGCCTCTCTTGGTTTCCCCCTCGTCGCCCGCCCCGCTATTTTGCTTGGCCTTCGCAAATGCGTTCCTCGGGGCCATGTCGTCCGCAACTCCGCAACGACGAACACTTGGACGAAGGAGCGCGTCGACGAAGGAGCACGTGGAAGTACGACGCTTGGAGATCGACGACGGCCACGTCGACGAAGGAGCACGTGGACGATGCGCAGTCGTGGTGGGCAGGAGCCGCGACGATTATGGCCACAGAAAAAAGAGCACGTGATTGCGGCGCGTGAGGGGGGACTGCACGCGGTGCACAAAGCTTGAGAGTGGAGGCGCAAAGGGTGGGAAGTGCTGGCTTGCGGCGAGGAATCAGTGATCAGACGACACCGTTGGTGACGTGGACAATGGAGTACTGCCATACGGACTGCGGCCCACAATCTCCTTTTCAACGCGGTGCGCCAACGCCGCACACCGTGTACACGCCACGCCGTCCACAACAGCCCGCCCCCTGGCCGATCGTACACGGACCGTTTTTTTCCCGAAGGCTTGTGGTGATCCGTCGTATGGCCAACAACGCGTGTGGGCGCGCAGAAGGACCATGGTGGAGGTCCAAAGACCCCGGCACGTTTCCGTCGCCCGCCACCCCCACAAAATCACACAGGACGTCCATGGTTGAGGCGCCCCTGTCCTCCGTTGTCCC